GCTGGGGATACTGCAGCCCGAAGTGTGGCAGGATTACAGAAACCGAGCATCACTATTAGTGCTGATGGGGACATGGTGAGGATCACGACAGAAAGTCCTCTCATAAACACTGAGATCTGCTTTAAGCTGGGAGAAGAATTTGATGAAACCACAGCAGACAACCGGAAAGTGGAGGTCAGAACTAAGTCCTTCTGGCGTTCAGCAATCAGGAAAAAACTAGAAGGTGGTTAGGCATGGTTTACTCTATTTAATTTGATTGATTCGATTTGATTTAGGTCTGATTAGAGTTTCTTCTTAATATTTGCACATCTCTAAAGTCAGTCATTTTGCCAATTATTCTGATGGTTATCAGAGCAAAAAAATCCCATTGTTTTTATTCTTTTGTTTTTTTTCTAGCTTGTTTTTGTCAGGGTTTAAAAGACTATCTGGAAGGGAACAATTAATCACAAAAAGCTTAGGTATTGTTTGCCTGGGAGGGAGCATTAATTGAATAATCTTTTAAGACTTCTTTTTTTTCGTATTTCTTTTTTTATTTATTTCTTTTGTTTAATTGTAATTCCTGATTTACATATAATCATTATACATCTTTGTGGGATACAGTATGGTTTTTAAAGGCCTGTATATGGTATGTAATAAACACATTCACCACCTTCAACATATAACATGCTATGTAATGTACATTTGAAATTCACTCTACTATTTCTTTTGGAAGTATATATTAAATTGTCAGTGATGTTCTTTACTGTGAATATAGTTCTTAAGAAAAACAAAGCAATTAAAATCAGACAACAAAAAGTCTCATAAATTAATGAGTATGGATTTTTGAAAACGAAGATAATCTTTAGCCAATGAGGGACAGGCAGTTGGCATAATGGCTATGTTGCTGGACTCCCATGTAGTTGACCGCGGTTTGAGTCCTGGACCTGGTGGCTTAAACTCACACCAGGCGCATGTGCGGGCGTGCCCAAGCTCTGAAGAGGAGAATGGAGGAGAAGGGATTGCGGTGTGGCCATCCTCCCTGGGGGGTGATTTCTTGCTTTCTGTCTCTCTATCTCTGTCTGACTTGCAAGCGTACATACCCTATAGCAAAAACTTCTCCAAAAAATAAAAAAAAAAAACATAGCCAATGAAAAAGGAATTTGTAATTTCCAAGGGGCTCCTTCTAGTTCGATGGTCTTAAATTATTATAAGAGCCAAAGTGAGGACTTTGAAAAAGATAATTTCAAAATGTAAATTTGAAAGTAGTGGTCAAGTCTTGCGTCAGTTAGAATGTAGTAAATTGTTACTTCTAATGTATTTCATTATGCATTTATAGAGCATCGTGACATTAGAAGGTGGCTCAATGATTCACACTCAAAAATGGCTTGGTAAAGAGACAACAATCAAAAGAAAAATAGTAAATGGAAAAATGGTAGTGGTAAGTTTTTATCTAAACGGAATGCTTTGTTTGATACATGTATGTCAATCTACTCAATTGGTTTTGCACCCCAAATTAAGAGTGGTTTGGGGAGAAAGGGACAAATGTAACTTGTCATCTACCAACTCTAATAGATCCCATTTTGTTTCTAGGAATGTACCATGAATCATATTGTCAGCACTAGAATCTACGAAAAGGTGTGAAAAAAATGTCTACGTCGATGAACTTGTTCACTAACAGGAAACTGATACTTGAAGAAGATACACCTCAGGGCCAGTAATTTAAAAAATAGTTACAGCATAAAAATACTCAATAAAAGCATTAAATTAAATGCAGTTTTGGAGCTGTCTGATAATGAGGATTAGGGATAGCCTGATGAATTGGTGAGCTAAGAAGCTCCTGGTCTATGATATGATTCAAACAACATTGAAGTCCCTTCTGTCCTCTGCCCACCTGACTTCCACAGTTGCTGAGCTCCTGACAATGGGTCCATTCATTTAGGTTAAAACACTCTGTCAAAGTCATGTGGAAATTCATGGAACCTCAAAGTAAGATATATTCATTATATCACTGGGACCTACTTTGGAAAACATAGATGCCCCAAATTAACCTTGCTGATTTTTTATTTCTCCAGAAGATTGCCCCTCCTTAAAGCAGATAGATTAGATGATGACAGATAGATGAATAGATGATAGATGAGTGAGTACACAATGGAGTCTGGACATTATTCACTATGACTATTTACAGAGGAGCGTTTAAAACAGTCATTGTCTCACTTCTCCATAAATCTCTTTAGCACATCTGTCATCACTGTTCACAGCTTACCCTTTGCAGAATGATATTTCATTAAATGCCAGGCCTGAAGTTCTAAATACCTAGTAAAAATATAATCACAAGAGCTACTAGTCTCTTAAGAGCATTACCAAATACTGATGCTAAGCATGGGTGCTCTCAGTGCTTGGAACACAACAGAGTAATGGGGACAAAACTGAAGGGAAAAGTCTCAGGCTGGCCCGGTGGCACAACAGTGAAGTACTATTTCAAGAGAAGCCTGAGCCCACGTGGTGGTTCAGATCCCCAGTCCAATCAACCTAAAACGTGATGGCCAACTATGCAAGTGCCCAAGACTTGCTGAGCTGGGGAATGAGGGGAAAGGAATCATGGAGCAACCTGACCCTGTGGAAGGTGCTTCTCTCTAACACTTTCGCTCTCTCTCATGTGCATGCGCTCTATTAGCAAAGAAAAAAGGAGTGGGGGGGGGCATAAAAAACCGAGGACGTCAATGGGAAGAAAAAAAAGAAGAGAAGGAATTATGTAAATAGCCATATTTTGCCTTAAATTGAAAAATAGAGCAGTTGGTCAAACGGAAGTCCTGAGAGTCATGTTTAATAGGTACTAGAGTAGAACGTCCATGAAAGTTGTCCTCCAAACTAAGCCCAAAAGTCACAAGCAAAAGGAGGCTTGATTAAGAAGTACACTGGGAGGATCAGCAGTTAGCATAATGGCTATGTCACTGGACTCCTATGTAGTCCACCACGGTTCGAGTCCCGGACCCGGTGGCTTAAACT